TCCACTCCCACCTCTTCCTCCTCAACCATTCTCATATATTCCCACTACCACATTTCTTTAATATATATAGCAAATTTATTAAATAATTTTATATTTGTTTTAATATTTTGGAGGCATTTTATTGTTTATATTTCATGATAATTACATGATGTAAAATTTAAAAAGTGTACTGCCGCACACTCGGCTCTCCATTACAAACCTGACAATAACTGTCTGGTATATTACGTTTTTTGGGTTATACCTCGACCGCTGAGAACAGTCTTTGTCCCTTGTGTCTCACACTAGGTTATGCTCACTTATATGTTCTTGCAAGATGAGCTTCAGCTCTTGGGCCTGGCCTTTCTGTCGCAGGTAGCCTATTATATAATTGTCCCCGACCTGCTGGCCACCATAGTATAGCCTCGCCCATCACCACTTGTATCTCACTCCACTTGTTCATTAATCTTACACTGAATAACTTATTGTTAACAATCACATGACTAATCTGAGTTCTTAATATTCGTATCCTATTTTCCTTCCTCTGTTAATGTTAATCTTGTTTTGTCCACTTTCTTATATCTGAAAATCTTACAAGTGTCTTACAAGTGTCTCACAAATCTTACAAGTCTTGTCGCCTCATATCCTTCATGTTTCCCAAAAATGGTGAGATGAAGTTTCTTAAGGTTTTCCTCATAACTCGTACCTCGCCCTTCGCCTCGCCAACCACCTCAGCCAGGCTCTAGCCCTAGACAGGGTCGATTGGGCTCAAGCCCTAAACAGGGTCGACTGGGCTCTAGCCCTAGACAGGGTCGACTGGGCTCGAGCCCTAGACAGGGTCGACTGGGCTCTAGCCCTAGACAGGGTCGACTGGGCTCGAGCCCTAGACAGGGTCGACTGGGTTCCAGCCCTAGACAGAGCCGACTGGGCTCCAGCCCTAGACAGAGCCGACTGGGCTCCAGCCCTAGACAGAGCCGACTGGGCTCCAGCCCTAGACAGAGCCGACTGGGCTCCAGCCCTAGACAGAGCCGACTGGGTTCCAGCCCTAGACAGAGCCGACTGGGCTCCAGCCCTAGACAGAGCCGACTGGGCTCCAGCCCTAGACAGAGCCGACTGGGTTCCAGCCCTAGACAGAGCCGACTGGGCTCCAGCCCTAGACAGAGCCGACTGGGCTCCAGCTCTAGACAGGGTCGACTGGGCTATGATCTTAACTGGTCGCCTATGTTCACCCGTCAGTAATTGGAGACCTGGTTGTAAATTGATTGATGGGTATTGTTCCACGGAAAACTAGTATGGTTAAAGCTTGAGATGATGTATGGGAAGAGAATGTTCTAAACCTGCTAACTGGAGGCAGAAGTCGTCTGCTTCAGCGCCCACCTGTGTAAACAGTAGAAATGAGATTAGTTTTGCAGCAATTTAGTAAACCTAAGGGTTTTGTTTCAGGTGGGGATGCCACAATGGGGGCTGCATATCCTAATGATGGTCGAGAGTTAGTGGTACAAGAGCTGAAAGCTTTCTTTTCCAAGTTTCTTAATGCTATATAAATGTTTGACATACACCATTGATGTTATCCTGGTTATATGTGTGGTGTCTGGTGGCGCTTGTGGCTGATCACAGTTGTAAGGTAGACACGAGGCCACTGCTCATGTCTACCGGTTATGAACTTTAATTTCATTTATACTGTTGTTGTTGTTATTGGGTTAGGGGCAGCTACACTTCAGGGCCGTGTGCACCCCGTCGCCAGTGCTGGGAGTTGGTAGGTCTTGGTGGGCTGCTGGTGTGCTCTCAGATGTGGTGGGCTCCTGGTGTGCCCTCAGATGTGGTGGGCTGCTGGTGTGCCCTCAGATGTGGTGGGCTCCTGGTGTGCCCTCAGATGTGGTGGGCTCCTGGTGTGCCCTCAGATGTGGTGGGCTCCTGGTGTGCTCTCAGATGTGGTGGGCTCCTGGTGTGCCCTCAGATGTGGTGGGCTCCTGGTGTGCTCTCAGATGTGGTGGGCTCCTGGTGTGCCCTCAGATGTGGTGGGCTCCTGGTGTGCCCTCAGATGTGGTGGGCTCCTGGTGTGCCCTCAGATGTGGTGTGCCCTCAGATGTGGTGGGCTCCTGGTGTGCCCTCAGATGTGGTGGGCTCCTGGTGTGCCCTCAGATGTGGTGGGCTCCTGGTGTGCCCTCAGATGTGGTGGGCTGCTGGTGTGCCCTCAGATGTGGTGGGCTCCTGGTGTGCCCTCAGATGTGGTGGGCTCCTGGTGTGCCCTCAGATGTGGTGGGCTCCTGGTGTGCCCTCAGATGTGGTGGGCTCCTGGTGTGCCCTCAGATGTGGTGGGCTCCTGGTGTGCCCTCAGATGTGGTGTGCTCTCAGATGTGGTGGGCTCCTGGTGTACCCTCAGATGTGGTGGGCTGCTGGTGTGCCCTCAGATGTGGTGGGCTCCTGGTGTGCCCTCAGATGTGGTGGGCTGCTGGTGTGCCCTCAGATGTGGTGGGCTCCTGGTGTGCCCTCAGATGTGGTGGGCTCCTGGTGTGCCCTCAGATGTGGTGGGCTCCTGGTGTGCCCTCAGATGTGGTGGGCTCCTGGTGTGCCCTCAGATGTGGTGGGCTCCTGGTGTGCCCTCAGATGTGGTGGGCTCCTGGTGTGCCCTCAGATGTGGTGTGCTCTCAGATGTGGTGGGCTCCTGGTGTACCCTCAGATGTGGTGGGCTGCTGGTGTGCCCTCAGATGTGGTGGGCTCCTGGTGTGCCCTCAGATGTGGTGGGCTCCTGGTGTGCCCTCAGCCGTGGTGGGCTGCTGGTGTGCCCTCAGATGTGGTGGGCTCCTGGTGTGCCCTCAGATGTGGTGGGCTCCTGGTGTGCCCTCAGATGTGGTGGGCTCCTGGTGTACCCTCAGATGTGGTGGGCTGCTGGTGTGCCCTCAGATGTGGTGGGCTGCTGGTGTGCCCTCAGACGTGGTGGGCTCCTGGTGTGCCCTCAGATGTGGTGGGCTGCTGGTGTGCCCTCAGATGTGGTGGGCTGCTGGTGTGCCCTCAGATGTGGTGGGCTGCTGGTGTGCCCTCAGATGTGGTGGGCTCCTGGTGTGCCCTCAGATGTGGTGGGCTCCTGGTGTGCCCTCAGATGTGGTGGGCTCCTGGTGTGCCCTCAGATGTGGTGGGCTCCTGGTGTGCCCTCAGATGTGGTGGGCTGCTGGTGTGCCCTCAGATGTGGTGGGCTGCTGGTGTGCCCTCAGATGTGGTGGGCTGCTGGTGTGCCCTCAGATGTGGTGGGCTCCTGGTGTGCCCTCAGCCGTGGTGGGCTCCTGGTGTGCCCTCAGCCGTGGTGGGCTCCTGGTGTGCCCTCAGCCGTGGTGGGCTGCTGGTGTGCCCTCAGCCGTGGTGGGCTCCTGGTGTGCCCTCAGCCGTGGTGGGCTCCTAGTGTGCCCTCAGCCGTGATGGGCTCCTGGTGTGCCCTCACCCGTGGTGGGCTCCTGGTGTGCCCTCAGCCGTGGTGGGCTCCTGGTGTGCCCTCAGCCGTGGTGGGCTCCTAGTGTGCCCTCAGCCGTGGTGGGCTCCTGGTGTGCCCTCAGCCGTGGTGGGCTCCTGGTGTGCCCTCAGCCGTGGTGGGCTCCTAGTGTGCCCTCAGCCGTGATGGGCTCCTGGTGTGCAATCAGCCGTGGTGGGCTCCTGGTGTGCCCTCAGCCGTGGTGGGCTCCTGGTGTGCCCTTAGCCGTGGTGGGCTCCTGGTGTGCCCTCAGATGTGGTGGACTCCTGGTGTGCCCTCAGCCGTGGTGGGCTCCTGGTGTGCCCTCAGCGGTGGTGGGCTCCTGGTGTGCCCTCAGCGGTGGTGGGCTCCTGGTGTGCCCTCAGCGGTGGTGGGCTCCTGGTGTGCCCTCAGCGGTGGTGGGCTCCTGGTGTGCCCTCAGCCGTGGTGGGCTGCTGGTGTGCCCTCAGCCGTGGTGGGCTCCTGGTGTGCCCTCAGCCGTGGTGGGCTCCTGGTGTGCCCTCAGCCGTGGTGGGCTCCTTGTGTGCCCTCAGCCGTGGTGGGCTCCTGGTGTGTCCTCAGCCGTGGTGGGCTCCTAGTGTGCCCTCAGCCGTGGTGGGCTCCTGGTGTGCCCTCAGATGTGGTGGGCTCCTGGTGTGCCCTCAGATGTGGTGGGCTCCTGGTGTGCCCTCAGCCGAGGTGGGCTCCTGGTGTGTCCTCAGCCGTGGTGGGCTCCTGGTGTGCCCTCAGCCGAGGTGGGCTCCTGGTGTGCCCTCAGCCGTGGTGGGCTCCTGGTGTGCCCTCAGCGGTGGTGGGCTCCTGGTGTGCCCTCAGCCGTGGTGGGCTCCTGGTGTGCCCTCAGCCGTGGTGGGCTCCTGGTGTGCCCTCAGCCGAGGTGGGTTCCTGGTGTGCCCTCAGCCGTGGTGGGCTCCTGGTGTGCCCTCAGCCGAGGTGGGTTCCTGGTGTGCCCTCAGCCGAGGTGGGCTCCTGGTGTGCCCTCAGCCGTGGTGGGCTCCTGGTGTGCCCTCAGCCGTGGTGGGCTGCTGGTGTGCCCTCAGCCGTGGTGGGCTCCTGGTGCGTCTTCAGATGTGGTGGGCGGCTGGTTCCTGCTCTGCCGGAGTGCACGGAGAGAGAGGAGCGAGTTATTCTTCACTACACTGCAGTGTTCTCTGTGTGGGGCGGGGTCGGTGTTTGCCACCTGACGGACTCGCATTAGGCGTGTTAGTTTACGCCGGCAGGCGACGATCATTTAGCCATTAGGTTTTTGCTTTACCCTTCAAGAGTACGCTGGGACACATAGGGCATCTCTGTCGTCGCGATCCTTAAACCCAACAACAACAAAAGTTGAACCCAAGGAAAATCACGCTCTCACTCTCTAAATTCTTAATCCATTTGACAAAATTCAGTAACGCCTTCCAGTGACCACCACAGAGCCAGAGCCCACTACAGAGCCAGGGCGCACCACAGAGCTAGGGGCCAACCACAGAGCCAGGGGCCCACCACAGAGCCAGGGCCCACCACAGAGCCAGGAGCCCACCACAGAGCCAGGGCCCACCACAGAGCCAGGGACCACTTCAGAGCCATGAGGGCTCACCACAAAGCCATGGCCCACCACAGAGCCAGTGTCCACCACAGAGCCAGGGCCCACTACAGAGCCATGAGGGCCCACCACAAAGCCATGGCCCACCACAGAGCCAGTGCCCACCACAGAGCCAGGGCCCACTACAGAGCCATGAGGGCCCACCACAAAGCCATGGCCCACCACAGAGCCAGTGCCCACCACAGAGCCAGGGCCCACTACAGAGCCATGAGGGCCCACCACAAAGCCATGGCCCACCACAGAGCCAGTGCCCACCACAGAGCCAAGGCCCACTACAGAGCCATGAGGGCCCACCACAAAGCCATGGCCCACCACAGAGCCAGTGCCCACTACAGAGCCAGGGCCCACTACAGAGCCATGAGGGCCCACCACAAAGCCATGGCCCACCAAAGAGCCAGGGCATACCAAAGAGCCAGGGCCCACTACAGAGCCATGAAGGCCCACCACAAAGCCATGGGCCACCAAAAAGCCAGGGCCCACTTCAGAGCCAGGGCCCACCACAGAGCCATGAGGGGCCCACCACAGAGTCATGGGCTCACCACAGAGCCAGGGCCCACCACAGAGCCAGGAGCCCACCACAGAGCCAGGGCCCACCACAGAGCCAGAGCTCACTACAGAGCCATGAGGGCCCACCTCAAAGCCATGGCCCACCAAAGAGCCAGGGCCCACTACAGAGCCAGGGCCCACCACAGAGCCATGAGGGCCCGCCACAGAGTCATGGGCCCACCACAGAGCCAGGGCCCAACACAGAGCCATGGGCCCACCACAGAGTCATGAGGGCCCACCACAGAGCCATGGGCCCACCACAGAGTCATGAGGGCCCACCACAGAGCCATGGACCCACCACAGAGCCATGAGGGCCCACCACAGAGCCATGGGCCCACCATAGAGCCAGCACCCACCACAGAGCCAGAGCCCACCACAGAGTCAGGGCTCACTACAGAGCCATGAGGGCCCACCACAAAGCCATGGCCCACCAAAAAGCCAGGGCTCACTACAGAGCCAGGGCCCACCACAGAGCCATGAGGGCCCACCACAGAGTCATGGGCCCACCACAGAGCCAGGGCCTACCACAGAACCAGGGACCCACCACAGAGCCATGAGGGCCCACCACAGAGCCAGGCCCCACCACAGAGCCAGGGGCCCACCACAGAGCCAGGGCTCAACACAGAGCCAGGGCCCATTACAGAGCCAGGGCTCACCACAAAACCATGGCTCACCACAGAGCCAGTGCCCACCACAGAGCCAGGGGCCCACCACAGAACCATGAAGACCCACCACAGAGCCAGGGCCTACCACAGAGCCACGGCCCACCACAGAGCCAGGGACCACTTCAGAGCCATGAGGGCTCACCACAAAGCCATGGCCCACCACAGAGCCAGTGCCCACCACGGAGCCAGTGCCCACCACAGAGCCAGGGCCTACCAAAGAGCCAGGGCCCACTACAGAGCCATGAGGGCCCACCACAAAGCCATGGCCCACCATAGAGCCAGGGCCCACCACAGAGCCATGAGGGCCCACCATAGAGACATGGGCCCACCACAGAGCCACGAGGGCCCACCACAGAGCCATGAGGGCCCACCACAGAGCAAGTGCCAACCACAGACCCAGGGGGCCCACCACAGAGCCGGGCCCCACCACAGAGCCAGGGGCCCACCACAGAGCCAGGGCTCAACACAGAGCCAGGGCCCATTACAGAGCCAGGGCTTACCACAAAACCATGGCTCACCACAGAGCCAGTGCCCACCACAGAGCCAGGGGCCCACCACAGAACCATGAAGACCCACCACAGAGCCAGGGCCTACCACAGAGCCACGGCCCACCACAGAGCCAGGGACCACTTCAGAGCCATGAGGGCTCACCACAAAGCCATGGCCCACCACAGAGCCAGTGCCCACCACAGAGCCAGTGCCCACCACAGAGCCAGGGCCTACCAAAGAGCCAGGGCCCACTACAGAGCCATGAGGGCCCACCACAAAGCCATGGCCCACCATAGAGCCAGGGCCCACCACAGAGCCATGAGGGCCCACCATAGAGACATGGGCCCACCACAGAGCCACGAGGGCCCACCACAGAGCCATGAGGGCCCACCACAGAGCAAGAGCCAACCACAAACCCAGGGGGCCCACCACAGAGCCAGGGCCCACCACAGAGCCATGGGCCCACCAGAGCCATGAGGGCCCACCACAGAGCAAGTGCCAACCACAGACCCAGGGGGCCCACCACAGAGCCAGGGGCCCACCACAGAGCCAGGGCCCACCACAGAGCCAGGAGCCCACCTCAGAGTCAGGGCCCACCACAGAGCCAGGGCTCACTACAGAGCCATGAGGGCCCACCACAAAGCCATGGCCCACCAAAGAGCCAGGGCCCACTACAGAGCCAGGGCCCACCACAGAGCCATGAGGGCCCACCACAGAGTCATGGGCCCACCACAGAGCCAGGGCCCAACACAGAGCCATGGGCCCACCACAGAGTCATGAGGGCCCACCACAGAGCCATGGGCCCGCCACAGAGCCATGAGGGCCCACCACAGAACCATGGGCCCACCATAGAGCCAGCGCCCACCACAGAGCCAGAGCCCACCACAGAGCCAGGGCTCACTACAGAGCCATGAGGGCCCACCACAAAGCCATGGCCCACCAAAAAGCCAGGGCCCACTACGGAGCCAGGGCTCACCACAGAGCCATGAGGGCCCACCACAGAGTCATGGGCTCACCACAGAGCCAGGGCCTACCACAGAACCAGGGACCCACCACAGAGCCATGAGGGCCCACCACAGAGCCAGGGGCCCACCACAGAGCCAGGGCCCACCACAGAGCCAGGGCTCACCACAAACCATGGCTCACCACAGAGCCAGTGCCCACCACAGAGCCAGGGGTCCACCACAGAGCCAGAGCCCACCACAGAACCATGAAGACCCACCGCAGAGCCAGGGGGGCCCACCACAGAGGCAGGGCCTACCACAGAGCCAGGGCTCAACACAGAACCAGGGCCCACCACAGAGCCATGAGGGCCCACTATAGAGCCAGGGCCTACCACAAAGCCATGGCCCACCACAGAGCAAGGGAGCCTACCACAGAGCCAGGGCCCACCACAGAGCCGACACCCACCACAGCCCGGGGGACCTACCACAGAGCCAGGGCCCACCACAGAGCCAGGGGCCCACTACAGAGCCAGGGCCCACCACAGAGCCAGGGCCCACCACATTCAGGGCCCATCCCAGAGTCAGGGTCTACCAAAGAGCCAAGGCCCTCCACAGAGCCAGGGGCCCACCACAGAACCAGGGCCCACCACAGAGTCAGGGCCCACAAGGGAGCCAGAGCCCAACACAGAGCGAGGGCCCCTCCACAGAGCCAGGGCCCACCACAGACCCAGGGGGCCCACCACAGAGCCAGGGCCCACCACAGAGCCATGGGCCCACCACAGAGCCATGAGGGCCCACCACAAAGCAAGTGCCAACCACAGACCCAGGGGGCCCACCACAGAGCCAGGGGCCCACCACAGAGCCAGGGCCCACCACAGAGCCAGGAGCCCACCACAGAGTCAGGGCCTACCACAGAACCAGGGACCCACCACAGAGCCATGAGGGCCCACCACAGAGCCAGGGGCCCACCAAAGAGCCAGGGCTCACCACAAACCATGGCTCACCACAGAGCCAGTGCCCACCACAGAGCCAGGGGCCCACCACAGAGCCAGAGCCCACCACAGAACCATGAAGACCCACCGCAGAGCCAGGGGGGCCCACCACAGAGTCAGGGCCTACCACAGAGCCAGGGCACCACAGAACCAGGGCCCACCACAGAGCCATGAGGGCCCACTACAGAGCCAGGGCCTACCACAAAGCCATGGCCCACCACAGAGCAAGGGAGCCTACCACAGAGCCAGGGCCCACCACAGAGCCGACACCCACCACAGCCCGGGGGACCTACCACAGAGCCAGGGCCCACCACAGAGCCGACACCCACCACAGCCCGGGGGACCTACCACAGAGCCAGGGCCCACCACAGAGCCAGGGGCCCACTACAGAGCCAGGGCCGACCACTGAGCCAGGGCCCACCACATTCAGGGCCCATCCCAGAGTCAGGGTCTACCAAAGAGCCAAGGCCCTCCACAGAGCCAGAGGCCCACCACAGAACCAGGGCCCACCACAGAGTCAGGGCCCACAAGGGAGCCAGAGCCCAACACAGAGCGAGGGCCCCTCCACAGAGCAAGTGCCAACCACAGACCCAGGGGTCCCACCACAGAGCCAGGGCCCACCACAGAGCCATGGGCCCACCACAGAGCCATGAGGGCCCACCACAGAGCAAGTGCCAACCACAGACCCAGGGGGCCCACCACAGAGCCAGGGGCCCACCACAGAGCCAGGGCCCACCACAGAGCCAGGAGCCCACCACAGAGTCAGGGCCCACCACAGAGCCAGGGCTCACTACAGAGCCTTGAGGGCCCACCACAAAGCCATGGCCCACCAAAGAGCCAGGGCCCACTACAGAGCCAGGGCCCACCACAGAGCCATGAGGGCCCACCACAGAGTCATGGGCCCGCCACAGAGCCATGAGGGCCCACCACAGAACCCTGGGCCCACCATAGAGCCAGCGCCCACCACAGAGCCAGAGCCCACCACAGAGCCAGGGCTCACCACAGAGCCATGAGGGCCCACCACAGAGCCATGGGCTCACCAAGAGAGCCAGGGCCCACCACAGAGCCAGGGCCCACCACAGAGCCATGAGGGCCCACCACAGAGTCATGGGCCCACCACAGAGCCAGGGCCCAACACAGAGCCATGGGCCCACCACAGAGTCATGAGGGCCCACCACAGAGCCATGGGCCCACCACAGAGCCATGAGGGCCCACCACAGAACCATGGGCCCACCATAGAGCCAGCGCCCACCACAGAGCCAGAGCCCACCACAGAGCCAGGGCTCACTACAGAGCCATGAGGGCCCACCACAAAGCCATGGCCCACCAAAAAGCCAGGGCCCACTACAGAGCCAGGGCCCACCACAGAGTCATGGGCTCACCACAAAGCCAGGGCCTACCACAGAACCAGGGACCCACCACAGAGCCATGAGGGCCCACCACAGAGCCAGGGGCCCACCACAGATCCAGGGCTCACCACAAACCATGGCTCACCACAGAGCCAGTGCCCACCACAGAGCCAGGGGTCCACCACAGAGCCAGAGCCCACCACAGAACCATGAAGACCCACCGCAGAGCCAGGGGGCCCACCACAGAGTCAGGGCCTACCACAGAGCCAGGGCTCACCACAGAACCAGGGCCCACCACAGAGCCATGAGGGCCCACTACAGAGCCAGGGCCTACCACAAAGCCATGGCCCACCACAGAGCAAGGGAGCCTACCACAGAGCCAGGGCCCACCACAGAGCCGACACCCACCACAGCCCGGGGGACCTACCACAGAGCCAGGGCCCACCACAGAGCCAGGGGCCCACTACAGAGCCAGGGCCCACCACAGAGCCAGGGCCCACCACATTGAGGGCCCATCCCAGAGTCAGGGTCTACCAAAGAG